CTGCCCCTAGGTTCTTCAGAACCTTGGGGCAGGACAGGAATAAAGACGCAGATGTAGAGAATGGACTTGAGGACACGGGGAGGGGGAAGGGTAATCTGGGACGAAGTGAGAGAGTGGCATGGACATATATACACTACCAAATGTAAAATAGATAGCTAGTGAGAAGCAGCCGCATAGCTCAGTGAGATCAGCTCGGTGCTTTGTGACCACCTGGAGGGGTGGGATAGGGAGGGTGGGAGGGAGGGAGACGCAAGAGGGAGGGGATATGGGGATATATGTATATGTGTAGCTGATTCACTGTGTTATACAGCAGAAGCTAACACACCACTGTAAAGCAGTTATACTCCGATAAAGATGTCAAAATAAATTAAAAATAAAATAAGTCTTTATTGCAAAAAACAAAAAAAAACTGACTCAGGACATCTTCATCTCTATGGTTATTTTTTACCCTCTTGCAGAACCTGGAACAGTTGGATTAGCAGCACTAAGCCAGTTTCTTTGGTCACGAGGACTTAGTGACTTGAACTGCACAGGGAGAGGACTTTAAGAAAGGGGGAAAATGCAAGAGAGTCAGCGCATCTTGAGACAGTGATGAAGTGTATTGGAAAGAGGTGGTCCTTTTTATTAGCAGGGCAGAATTTTTTTTGTTTGTGTGTTTGTTTTTGTTTTGTTCTTCCTAAACCACAAGATGGCCATCTGAGGAGTGTTTCTGAACTGGCCTTAACTCTCCACTGCCGTGGTGTTTCTGAGTTCCTAGGAATTCCAGGCTTTCATTGGAGATTCTGGGCTTCAAGGAGCCCGTCGTGCCCATCGAGCAGCGTGGTGGTGATTCTCATGGCTGCGGATGGAGGAGGATGCAGATAGAGCAAAACAGAATCCCTGGGGGTCTTACACAGATGTCAGAGTGAGTTACTTAGCAACATCTGCCCCCCCCGCCCCCAGTTAGACAACATTTAGCTTTTTTTGAGAGAAATCCTCTTGTCACATCCCCCGTTTCTCTAGAAGCCTACCGCTGCCCTTGATTTTTACGTTCTCATTTCCATTGATCAGGATGGCTTTTTGAGTTTATTTAAACCAAGAAGGGTTCTTCTGATACTGAGCAGAAGTCATGAATATTTTCATCTTTGTGGTATGTGGTTAGTCAGTGAGTACAAAACTAATATGTTTTTTTAAAAAATCTTAAACAGCCATATCTAGGGGGAGACAAGTTAGATTCCACATTATCCTTACCATCTTATTGTTCCTGACTCAAAAACCAGTCTACCTTGCTGAAATTATTGGAAGAAGAATTAATTTCCAGCAGGAGGCGTGGATGCCATCTGGGGAGGAACTAAGTCATGATGTTCCTACTTCATTCTGGAACTAGTTGAGATGTTAGAGTTTTTGTTCTTCCTTTGACATTTCTGTAGTTAAGCACGAGGACAAATCTCCTTTCTGGGACCTGAATGCAATGGGTACTGGTTTGGCGCTGCACAGAATACACAGTTTGTATATTGAATACCCCATTTTCCACATCCCTGTGCCTCATGCGGTCTGACTGTGTGTTCCAGATCCGCCCTAAAGAGCCCTGGCAGAGACATTTCTTTAGCGGCCTGAAGAACAGAGTCCTGACTCAACGCCTCTCTGATGACTTTGCTGGAATGAGCTTTCCTGATGTTTGCCGGTAAGTTAAGGGAAACACTTTCCTCATTTTCGTGCAATGCATTCTTTCCCCAGTGTTCACAAAGGGCTCACTGTAGACCAGGCTCAGTGACAAACACAGAAGGTATAAGGATGAATAAGTCTGAGTGTCTGCAGCCTGGAGGTTTACAGTCTGTGCGGGACAGGTTCACCTCTGTCCCGGTTGGTGCACTGGCTCTGCGTTACTCCAGGATGGATTCACTTTCAAGCGAACGTTCCATGTTGGAGAGGCTCTCCCTCTGCGGAGGGGGTGGTGTCCTCCCAGGCAAAGAGCACAGAGTGTCCATCGTATTATTGTGAACTGGTGCTCTGCTGTCCTCGCTTGCCTCACGATTGCTCGTCTTCCTTCCCAGGCTCTGCTTCGTGAAGATGCACCTCATGCTGATAGCCATCGAACACAAGTCCGTGTGTCACGGTTACTGGTACCAATGAGACTTCAAATCACTTCAGAATCTTTGAGGAGAATCTTTATGATTAAGATTTTTCCAGACATACAGCCATAACTAAGCTTTTTGCTATTTGTTGAGAGCCGGCCTCAGGCTCTCAAGGCACCCAGGCTGCTGTGGTGCATTTAATACTGTCTCTAATGATTGAGGTTAGAATGGTTACCCTAGTGGGTGGGCAGGAGCTCTACCTTTGTTCCTGTGGCCTTGCCCCAGTTGTGTCTCATGATCAGGAGACAGAAGAAATGGTCACCTTCTCAGATCTGTTCCTCAGTATATTACCAGGTCTTGTAAGTCTTGACCATGAAACCATACCATGAAATAGAATTATTTGTGATAAAAAATGTTCCCACAAACTCTAGCCTTAGAAACTAATCCACAAAATGTGGTAAAATGGGAATTTGGCCTGCTGGGCAAAGTGTGCTGTTGATAAAGATAAGAGGTAACCTTATCAGACCATCAGCATTTCCTGAAAATGCGTACTGAATAATATAAGAAGTAAGAGAAGTTATCATATAATAAAAAAGAAAGTCCAGAATCAGCCACAATGATATAGAGATAAAAGATGCTGAAAGATAAAAAGTGAGGCTTACGTGGGATGGAGAACAAGAAACACTTAGGTTGGCTTCTGTGTGTTTTTTAGTGGAAAACTACCTTGAATTAACTTGGAATCAATAGACTAGATTCTGATCCTGATTATGATTTGCCAGCCCAGTGGCCGTAGAGAAGTGTCCATCACCTGTAAAAGGAGGGAGTCACATTAATTAATCCCTAAGACCCCTTCCAGCTCGAAGACTGACATTACCAGGAACCCTAGAATCATAGGGAAACAGTCAAAATTCAATAATTTTGAATGATATCAGAGGGACTACAAAGTATATGAAAGGCTAGAAAGAAGAAACAGTGTGTCAATTAGAGAGGATGTAGAAGGTATCTGAGCAAAAGGGGTCAGTGGGATACAGTACAGAGCAAGTGCTTAAGGAGAGTAAAGAATAGTACCATCTGGCTGGCTGAATCTTATTTAACAGTTCTGCCATGCTCATGGAAATCTCGAAATCGAAACCCATGTGCAAGTGCCCTTTCTACTGGAAATAGGTGAGAGTAAAGAAGATGGCACCTTAGCCTCATGAGCCGGGGAGTCTGGGTTTCACACCAGCCCAAAACGATCAGGTTTTAACATTTTGGACCTTCGATGACCTGGGTTATGCATCGGAATTATTTGCAAAGTTTGAAAGACATAGAATTCAAAACCTCACTTCTGACGTTATAAAACCAAAATCTATGAATTTTTTTGAGTCCCCATGATATAGTCATTTTATTCACTGGCATTCAGAAACTGTTATACCAAATGCTCTTAATATCCTTTCCACATTTAACATCCTAGATTTCTATAAACTTTATTAGAATGACTGTCAGGACATTGTGGACCAGAAACATGAATAAGCAACTAAGTTCTACATATATTCAAGAAGCTCTGGTGCTGTTTACTACCTAGCATACATCTACCTCCAGTAAATGAGGCAGCTGCTCCAACATAGATTTAATTTTGGTTTCTCACCAAAGAGTCAGATGCATCAAAAGAATTAAATCCTGATTTGGCAAAGATATTGGTAATAGCAGTCTTACATGATTGCTACTTCATGATCGACACTGCTATAGGCACTTCACTTACATTAACTCCCGAATCCTCCCAACAATGCTGTAAGAAGGGTATAATTAGCCCCATTTGTACAGAGGAGAAGCCAAGAAAAGTTAAATAATTTCCCCAAGCTTGCACCACACCCAGGGGCCAAGCGAGAATGTGAACTTACTCTGGGGGCACTTCTGATCACCAGGCTGTGCTAAATCCACCACAGTCACTGTACACGGAAGGAAATGGGGCATCTCAAAGCTGGGCTTCAGGCAAGTATATCGAAAAACTAGGTGAAAACCTATTTTTTCTCACCTTTTATTTTTTCTTCTAATTGATGCACTTGACTAGACTCTAAGATGTGCAAAAGCTCTGGATAATCCTCAGGATCTCTCTTAGGGAATAATTTGTCACCCGGTAAGAGGTGAAGCTGGATCTGACCCCAGTCAGAGAATGTTCTGAGTTAGTTCCAGTGGCCTGTGTTTGCTAACAGCAGCTGGCCGTGATTCATGAAGGGGGCGGGGGGAGGATCAAGCAGTAACTTCTTTGAAAGATGTTCACCTCTTCTTTCAAATGCAACCAGAGAGATTATTCTGGCAGTATCTTCGTAACTAAGCATTTAACGTGAGCTCAGAGGACCCTGCCTTTAAAAAAGAAGGTATGAAGATACAACTTAAACATATGCTTGTTAGGTAGTGAATATCAACCGGTGATACTGGGGCGGGGGAGGCACAAATCTGTCCTTTCCTTTTCAAAGTCAAAAGCAGTGATTCCAATGACATGTTAGCGTCAGTCAGTCAGTACTCAGAAAGTGACACACAATGTCTCATGCAGTCATCTGCTTGAACTCAGCTCTTCAGCATCTTTTGCTCTTGGCATAGAGCTGAAGATCTCTTGTTGCACAAGCTCTTTGTTTTTGTAAGGCTCTGACACCTTACTTTGGAATATCCTAACAACAGACTAAGCTTTGCCCAAAGGAAGACTTGACCTCTGTCCAGTGTGCATATGAAAGGAGGGGTGTGTTTTAAAGGAGGAAAGGAGTACTTTGACCACGCACAAATGAAGCGAGGGGAGGTGTAGGGTTGTAAGACCTCACCATGCTGGAGGCCTGAATGAAAGGAAATGAAAGTGGGAGATCCTGACCAGCAGGGAGAAATGTGAGGAACTCAGATAGTCATCATGGAGCACCCTATCAAAACATATCATGGATGAAGTTTATAAGGCAGCGTTTTCAAACACACAAAACCATAATAAAATAGACAATCAAAATATTCAAGTAGTGTAGAAATAGAAACAATTCACGTGGTTCCTGCTCTCAAAAATCTTGCAATCAAGATACACAAAAGTGAAGTCAGAGATAAACAAGTTCAAAAATTGTATAGGCAAATAAAAGGAACTTTCGAATCCAGCTAGTTAATTAGATGAATTTAATTTTAAAGGACAAATAGCCTAAGGATGTGCACCACTAGGATGACCGTAAGACTAGCAACCGTGTGGCCTTGGCCTGTTTGGCCTTGGGTAGCTTCAATTAGCAAGGCTTCCTGCATCTGAATTGGTTTGACCATTTCTGATGCAGGACACAATCCAGGGAGTGTGTGCAGCTCAGCAATTGGGCTATGACCTGACCCCCCTCAGTAGATTTCAGCAGCAGTCGATGAATTAAATGCAGTCAGATTCACATTTTCTACTGTAAATTTTGGCAGTAAAAAGGGATTGAGTCCTGTTAACTCTGCAACTTAGAGAATCCTTTGGTAAAAACAGATATTGCCCCAGAAATTGGAGGGGAAAATTACTGTATTATTATTTTCTGTTTCCAGTGGGCTGATACTAAATCCACCTGCTCAAGTTAAGCTCCGTAAGAACACACCAGGGTTCTTTATTGCTGAATCTGCAAAGGATGTCAAAAGGTAAATTTTTTTTTATTACTTTAACGGGGAGAAAGTCCTAAAGCGAATACAACTTAATGGCAGGTAGACTGAGTCAGCCCCGTGTTTCTTTAGTGTGAAGCCTCACATAAGTCATTCTTGATTTGCTTTCATTGTCCAGAGCCTTCTTTTACTGTGCCGTCTGTCACAGTGATGTGTATACTCCCGAGCTAATTGGAAAATGTAGCTGCAAAAGCAAGAATCCTCGACACAAGACAGGTAACTGCGCTTTCTGTCTGGCTGTCCTCAGCCCAGCTTCTGGGGGCGTGGCCAAGGAAAGGGGAGGGACTCTGTCTCTTAAAAGACAATGTCCACTTGAACTTGGCCAAGAAGTGGCAGATACTTCCCCACTGGGCATCCAAGACCTGAGAATCAGCCTTTTAGAGCTGGAAGAAACCTTACTGGTTCTCTGGTTCAGCCCCTTCACGGGCCATGCAGATGAGCTCCGAAAGAGGTTCAGTAATTTTGTCCAAAGTCACATAGCCAGCTGGAGGCACCTTCCAAGTCAATCCCAGACATGTCTACGTCACGCAGGCCTTCCCACCTTCAGTCTAAAAGTTCAGCCTGTATCTGACTGCTTCGTTGGGTATAAGGATACCCCCTCATGACCATTTCTGTTTTTTAAAATTTTATTGGGATGTCTTTGACATACAACATTGTATGAGTTTAAGGTGTACAAGATGATTTGATACATTTATATTGCAATACGATTGCCATTGTAGCATTAGCTAACACCTCTGTCACCAGCATAATTATCATTTCTTCTAGTGTTGTGAACGAAACCGTTCCTTGAGTACTCTGTTCCTTAATGGATTGTAGGGAGCTTAAAATTTACTCATTCTGGCATAGTGCTGAAGAAGTGAAACTTTCCCCCTTTGCTCAAGCTGAACTCGATAGCTCACCAACAACCCTTATCACTTAAAGCAGGAAGAGAAAGGTTATTTCGAGCATTCATGATAACTTAATCACTTCTGGTTTGAAACTTAGTCTCTTCCAGGTATGTTAAGATTGTTTAGGTAAAATCCCAGTGTTTCAGCATTTAAACTTAATTCAGAATTTGAATTTCCTATCAGGGCTCCCCTTCTCTCTAAGGTTCTTCCCCTCTCTTCTCTCCATTAGTATTCTATCTAAATGCAGGAGAAAACGTGCCTAACCGCATGGTATTCTCGTAGTGGACAGCCAAGCATCCTTTCATGAGAGTCCTCCTTACTGGTTCCTGAGGTCTGTAAGTGTCAACTTCTGTGACCTCTGCATTGGCAGCCAGTGACTCTGTTCCTCCTGGATTTAGGTCACCTACTGTCGTTTGTTACTGAAATCCATCGTCCCTGCCATTGCTTCTGGTCTTTTTTTTCAGATAGGATTTTCTTTTTTAAAAAAATTTATTTATTTTTTGTTGAAGTATAGTTGATTTACAATGTTGTGTTAGGTTCAGGTGTACAGCAGAGTGATTTAGTTATATATATATGTGTGTATATATATATATATATATATATATATATATACACACATATTTTTTTTTATAGTTTTTTTCCATATAGATTATTACAGAATATTGAGTATAGTTCCCTGTGCTATATAGTAGGTCCTCGTTTATCAATTTTATATATAGTTGTGTGTATATATTACTCCCAAATTCCTAATTTGCCTCTCCCCCCTACCTTTCCCCTTTGGTAACCATAAGTTTGTTTTCTATGTCTCTGAGTCTGTTTCTGTTTTGTAAATAAGTTCATTTGTATCATTTCTTTAGATTCCACATATAAGTGATATCATATGGTATTTGTCTTTCTCTCTCTGACTTACTTCACTTAGTACCACAATCTCTAGGTCCATCCATGTTGCTACAAATGGCATTATTTTGGGGTTTTTTATGGCTGAGTACTATTCCATTGTATATATGTACCACATCTTCTTGACCCAGTCATCTGTCAGTAGACATTTACATTGCTTCCACGTCTTGGCTATTGTAAAGAATGCTGCAGTGAACATTGGGGTGCAGGTATCTGTCTGAATTATGGTTTTCTCTGGATACATGCCCAGGATTGGGATCGCTGGATCCTATGGTAGCTCTGTTTCCTTTTTGAGGAACCTCCACACTGGTCTGCATAGTTGCTACACCAATTTACATTCCCACCAGCAGTGCAAGAGGGTTCCCTTTTCTCCACACCCTCTCCAGCATTTATTATTTGTAGACTTTTTGATGATGGCCATTCTGACCAGTGTGAGGTGGCACCTCATTGTAGTTTTTAGCCTCTGGTCTTGAGGTCTACAAAGTCCCCTTTTCCTTTACTCCTTGTCTTTTTATTCCATATGTTATTTTGGTCTCTCTGCTCTGTGGGATTTGTCAGTCTCCCCACGTTCGTAGGTGTGCATGTCAGGATGTGGGAACCTAAGTGGTGCCCTCAGGCCATCTTCTGCTTAAACACACACATGCCGCCATCTGCTCTTCTCTAGTCATCTTGCACTGTTACTAAGTACTCCTCTAAGTGCGCCCACCAGGATCCATATGAAGAGGGTTTTCCTATGGATTTTCTCCCCTTACACACCATAAAATTATCCTGTGTTCCTTGTCTCACCACCTCTCACCTTCCTGAGACACCAGGTGTGTGTGTTGGTTGGGAGGGACTAAGTGTTTTCTCAGGGGTCCAGGCTCTGTCATTTTTGGGTGATAGCTTTATCGAGATATAATTCAAATACTATGAAGTAAATACCAAATCCTTTTAAAGGGTCCAGCAATTCAGTGGGTTTTAGTATATCAGCAGATTTACGCAACCATCACCACAATCGATCTTAGGACATTTCCATACCCAGCAGCAGTCATCCCCCGTCCTCCTCTTCCTGCACCCCTGGCAACCACTAGCCTACTTTCTGCCTCTACAGATTTGCCTCTTCCGGCCACGTCATAAAGAGGGGGTGATTCAGTACGTGGCCTTTTGTATCTGGCTCCTTTCACATAGCCATGTTGTAGCGTGTATCAGTACCTCACTTCTTTCCATGGGTGAATAATGTTCCATTGTGTGTATACACTTCATTTTGTTTACTCATTCATCTGTCAGTGGACACTTGGATTGTCTCCAACTTTTGGGTATTGTGGATAATGTTGCTATGAATATTGGCACAGAGATATCTGTTTGAGTTCCTCTTTTAATTTTTGTGTATACATCTAGAAGTAGAATTGCTATATCAAATATTAAGTCTATGTCTAATTTTTTGAGGAACCACCTTACTGTTTTACATAGCAGCTGCATCATTTTACATTCCTACCAGCAGTGCACAAGAACAAGGGTTCCCATTTCTCCACATGCTAACCAACACTTATTATTTTCCTTTTTTTAAAAAAAATAATAGCTGTTCTAATGAGTGTAAAGTGGCATCTTATTGTGATTTTTAACTTAATTTCCCTAATGGCTACAGATGTTGAGCATCTTTTAATAAGGATCTTATTAGCCATTTGTATATCTTCTTTGAAGAAATGTCTATTCAAATCCTCTGCCCATTTTTAAATTGGGCTATTGTCTTTCTATTATTAAGTTGCATTAGGTGTTTAAATATCCTAGATACATGTCCCTTATCAGATATGTGATTTGCAAATATTTCCTCCCATCCTGTGGTTTGGCTTTTCATTTTCTTCAAATAATTTGAAGCACAAACTTTTCGTTGTAGCACCTCTGGACACCAGGGGTGGTATTGTCGTTCCTTGTTGGATTAGTGGGTTAGTGGCTTGGCTGGGCTATTTCATTGAACTCTATTTCCCCTGCAGTGTGAAGCCTCTGGTGTTGCCCATCAGAGAGTATAGCCTTGGGATGCACATAGTCACCCTGGGATGACGGTGGTTTTAACTGGGCTCTGTTTAATTGTCTCCTTTCCTGACTCTCTGTTAAGCTCTCTGCCTCTGTTGGTATCACACCCAGCTCTTAGGCTACGCTCATTGGCTGCCAGAGACTCTATTATTTTTGACGATACCCTGAGGCAGATACTGCTTTACAATATTATCCAATTAAATTTGAGCCCCTTTGCAGGAGTAGTTTCTGAGGCTAGTCTGAGGTTTGTTCTGACCCTGAGAGAGCACTTATTAGCTGTCTCTTTCCTGGTTCACTATGGTAAATCCTCGCCCATGGTTTACCTTGTTGTTCTTGTGGAGCTACCAGCATCCACTTAATGATTTGCCACCAAAATCACCATTGTTTTCAAGAACATCCTTGGGCTTGAGCTTCTCCACACTCTACTCCAAGTCAAGGCAACTCCCTTGGGAAGAACATCAGAGCTCTCTATGGTAGTGGCCTGCCTCTCCCTCTGGGCAGAACCTCTGAGCCACTGCCCAGGAGCTGTGGGGTACAAACGGTCGTCTACCTCTCTGGAATTGACATATCTGCTTTTTGACCAGGTCTCTGGGCAGTGGCGCTAGCTTCTGGACTTGGTTTGCCTCTCCGACTGTAAAACCTCGGCCTTGGGCGCGAGCTGGGATGAGGCTATTCAGTGATCCATGGTTTTCACCCTGTGATGCTGGGGCAGGGCCTCTGCCCCATGAGTGAGGGCTGCGTGGAGGAAGGGAGCCTCCATCCTCTTGGTTGTACTCACCTGGAACTTAGCCTCTGCACCATGGGGCTGGGAGAATGAGAAATGCCGGTGCCCTGCCTCTCCCCGAGACACACCGTAGCCCTCGCCTGAAAGCTGGAGGGAAGGGTAGCTCTGTGTTTCCGGGCACACGTACCCAGAATGGAGCTTCTGTCACACTTAGTTGGGGTTGGAGGAAAGGAAGCCGTTTGTGGCTCAAGTGCCTGTGGCTCTTGTAGCTCTTCCTAAGGTTTGGTATAATTTTTGAATAAATTGTCCACATTTGCTACATGCCTGTAGGACAATTTCTAGAGATTTTAATTGGGCTTGTATGTGTGTGTGTTTCAGTTTTCACTAGTTACTGTTGTTTCATGGAGGAGCAGGCCCATGGAACTTTTCATGCTTCCATCCCACATTCCGAACTAAAGGCTCTATCTTAACCATATCTATTTTCTCTGACTCTTTAAATTTTTTTGTGAAAATCTAAGACAGTTTTAGGCATAGAAAGAAACTATTCCTATGCCATTTGCTGAAATCCTATTACCTAGAGGGCTTGCAACGGAACGCTTGACTCTGAAGAATACTGTTAATTAAATGGGCTTCAAGAGCCTATTTGGGATTCAGAAGTTAAACATTGACTCTTGCATTCTATAACAATATGAATCATT